CCCCAAAACCCCAAAACCCCAAAACCCCGATTTTTTAAGTTAAAATTGAAGATTTTATTGACTAATTATAGAAAGTAGGCTTACTTTTTGGGGATTTTAAAGAGTACACCTTGGGGCTTTTCTAAAGCGCTTATGGACTTTGAGCCAGTAGCTTTGATCACCTGAGAGTTTAGGTTGAAAAGAGAGGAAAGGTTTGATTCATCTTCTTTGAGACCAACCTCAAATGAAGAATCATGATCTAATTCTTCTCCTACTTCTTTATAGATTGCAGCTGTCCTAGAGAAAGTATAAAAACCAATAGAATTTAAGAATAAGTAATCTTTAAACTTACTTTTGTTTGATTTGGACTAACCTCTTCTTTGGATGTTTTCTCTGTAGTTCAATATGACGACTGACGGCTCTCTCAAACTTCAACTCTTCTGTGATATCATTTTCCCCCTCGCTGACAACTTCTCTGATATCATGAATGGACTCGTCCTATGAAAGTTGTATCGGAATAATGTTATTATTTAAGTAAAATCAAAAGCTTACTTCATCTGAAATTTTCTCTCTGAAGATGTCTTCAGTGAACTTCTTGAACTGGTCAAATTTCTTACGAATAACATCCTTTATAGGAGTGTCTGAGAGCTCCTTCGCAAAATAATTCCTAGAAGTATCCTTAATGGCGAACAAGGAGTCGTCTGAGGGTGAATAGTTACATGCTTTCTTGTTCCTTTTCTCCTTCCTAGTACTCCTCTTGAAGAGCTTCTTCAGGAAAGGTGTCTTTTCACCATCGGAGTCAGACTCTTTGGTCTCTTCTTCATTCCGTGGGGAGATAATCTCGAATGGAAGGAAGCTTTCCTTAGCTGTAAAGTATTTAAATCTGACTTTTCTTATTGAAACTTACCAAACTCATTCTTCTCTTTTCTGAGCTTTGCGAAGAGACCTTCAAGAGGAGGATCGAGAACATACCGAAACTTTGGCCCAAGCCACTTCTCTGCCTGATTCCTGTTGAATTCTTTGACAACTCCAAAGAGACAGAAGAAGAAATGTGATCTTTCAAGGATCCTAACCCACAGGATCAGAATGAGCAGGATGTTGAACGGGATGAAAATAAATGAAACTCCAGTAATTGAGAGCTTGACAAGCTCAGTTATTAGCAAGATCGTTTTACTCCTGTCACCCCAATTCATGTAGTCCTTCATGAAAAGATCGTAGAACTCAACCAGCTCTCAGGTGTCTTTCATGACTCTCTGGATTATGCAGTAGCTGCGCTTCATGTCGAGCTCTCTTTCTTTATATTTCTCCCTTTTCGTTGAATTATGCAAAACTTTTAAGATGAGAAGTAGCGGAAAATACACGAAGAAATACTGAATCGTGTAAAGGATAAAAGAGGCTAGCAGCAGGAATAATAGCGTATCTTTTGTATCGGTGAAATTCATCACATGGTCAAGGTACTCAACGATATCAGCTAAAAACCCTTGTGCTGTTAGAAATCTTTTATTGAGATGATACTTCTGAATCGGATTCAGCTCGTCTATTGTAATATTTGGAATACTTTTGTGATGAGAGATGTACTCCTTAGAACATTCCTCCTGTAGAGGAATCAGAATCTCATCTTCAAGTGTTTTGCTTTCCATATTTTTCAATAAAATAAGGATTATTTGGGGTTTTGGGGTTTTGGGGTTTTGGGGTTTTGGGG